GTAGTAGTAGTGGTTCGGTTTGTTGGGGGGGGCGACGTGATCCGATTGATTGGTGATGATACGTCGTGATAGGTGGAGTATCTGCATCTTTTGAATTTCGGACTTTTGGCGAGAACTAATTGGTGAACCTAACCTGGATGGATAGCCTTGCTGCTGTGGAGATCTGGCGGGTATGTATGCGACTGTGACCTTGGGTGGGGAGGGGGAGGGGGGGTCAAGTCAAAAACGTCCTCTTTTTGTTTAATTTTCTTCGATCGCTACCTGGGCCTCACGACTACAAGCGCAAGCACATACTAGTGGGAAAAAACTCTGGTAGCTAGGGAGATGACGAATCTTTGATGCAGATCGACGTGGTGGAAGTGAGGGTGTTGGCAGGTATGTATATTTCACATATATAAGGTATGTATATGTATATAATATATATATATATATATATATATATATCCTGTAACGTAACTGGAAAGTGCTTACGGAATGGATGGATTGACAGATCGCTTGTTGGGTTCTGTGCAAGGTGCGACTATAATATTGTAAGTACTTGTCTTGGTGTACCGGTTGCCGTCTGAGAATAATAATCTGATGGTTGATTGTTTTGTTTTCCTTCTTATGCATGTATGTATGTATGTATGCCGTCCAGGTTAGAGCGGCATAGATATAATAAATATATATGTGAAACTCAGCATTGGTCCAGTATTGTCGCAACTTGATAATCCTATAGTGATCGATCGGTCAGCTAGTTGTGATCACTATTTTCGGGAATCATCGGTCTAGCCTTGTTCAGAGTGTTGGATCTCGAAAGAAGTTGAACCTGGCGCGCTACTGATTTACTTGAATGACTTGGTTTGGTTGTTGGCCAGCCCGAAAAACCATCTACACAGAGGTCTGGATCTTCTGTTTAAATATATGCATGGTGTGGTGATATGATACGGAAAAGGGGAAATGTTATATTCGGATGTGGGAAGGGCTCTTGGTCATCGGGGTATGTATTGATGGTCAAGCTCTGTGGCTTATCAGGTCTTCGATCTTGTTGGATTTATAATATGAAGACGGGCAGGAGGGGAGGGGCTTTCCGTCAGCATTGTATCACCTCGGCTTACTGCTGGTTGGCCCTATATGTCACAGTGGGCCAGATCGGAGCTCCGAAGATAGCCAGATGGTGCCAGGTAGTGCATAAGGCAGAGCGCGAAAAGACGACAGGTCTGAGGTGAAGAGACCATGGAGCCGAAGGCGAAAGTCGATCGAGGTTTGTTTACCTCGTCTCCTCCTGCATCTGGCTCAGCATAACCCATCTCATCTTTACTGTCGAAAACGCGATATTGAGACGCGAGATAGACCACGGACGGGGAGATAGCTGCTGAAATGTCACCGTCTCGCCCTAGCCCGACAATACTGTGTCTGATATGTCGTTCCGTCTCTCTAGATGAGATGCGAGGCCCGGATCTCGACCGCATGCAAGTCCACCAGCCAAGCTACCTCGCGCTCAGGAATGCAGCCTCTGCCGGCTGCCAGCTGTGTGCGTTCATATGGAGAGCGCTCGAGTGTTGCCAGGTTGACGATGGTCTAGGGACAGTTTTCGAAGGTCGTTCGACCCTTGAGCGCGTGTCGGAACAGTACCCCGGGAGGCAGATTTCCCTTGTGGCGTGGGGACGCGAGAGCGACGGTTGGCTGGATCGGATACTGGTTACCACTACCGGCGAGATACCCGATGGGGATTCCGATCAAGAAGAGTCGGGAGCTATTTCTGATCCGACTATGCATCCCGACTACCAGCTTGCTCTATCGGGTGTGCTCAATATCTTCGCTTATCCAGGTGACTTCTTCTCATAATTTTTCCGAACTAGAGACGTGTGACTTTTGACTTCTCTATGATTGCTGACTGGCTCTTATGGGAGAAGATGATCCTGCTGCATGGCATGGTGCTGTTCAAGGACGACCATTGCCGCTGACGGCCGGTGACTCGGATGAAGACTTCGAGTTGGTAAGGCGGTGGCTAGAGGATTGCCGATACAGCCATGAATCCTGTCGGAAAGCTTCCCTGACACACACACGGCTGCCGACAAGAGTGCTTGACATTGGCGCAGGAGATGGCCTTGAAGAGCCGTACCTGCTCGAAACGAGCGGGATGCATGGATGCTATATCACACTCAGTCACTGTTGGGGCGGAGAAGTGCCTTTGACGACAACCTCAGCTACGATCATACAAAGGAAGCTATCCATCCCGCTATCGTCACTGCCCAAAACCTTCCGGGACGCGGTCTTCATCTCTCGGAGGTTAGACGTCCGATATCTCTGGGTCGACTCGTTGTGTATCGTACAGGACTCGAGATCAGACTGGGAGAAGGAATCAGCACTCATGGGCGACGTGTACGGGAGGAGCTACCTCACCATCGCCGCTCGGGGAGCTGCGAATGCCAACGTCGGGTGCTTTATACCGAGGAATGCAGAGCTGCCTCCTTGTCGTCTGGAGTACCGAGACGGCCCGGTCCCAGGAGCGTTTTTTGTGCGCGACCCCTCCTCGAAGAATGAGCGGATCGACCAGTCGCCTCTTGACGGAAGAGGCTGGGTGTTCCAAGAGAGAATACTATCACCTCGCGTTCTGTACTACGGCTCGCAGCAGCTGTACTGGGAGTGCGCGAGTGCTACTTTACGGCAGGATGGCAAGTATCGCGACGTAGAAGGCGATAAGTTCCGATCTTATGACGGGTTCAAGCAATGCTGGGATCCCAATGCCGCTATCAAGCCTCGGTTGCCGCCGCTCGGAAGCTCGGAGTATCCCGTCGAAATGGATGATGCATCTGCGAAGTCCCTCGAGCTCATGAGTCGTTGGTACCGGATCGTTGAGCAGTACTCGCGTCGGCAACTCACATTTGCGTCGGACAGGCTGCCTGCAATAGCCGGTGTAGCTAAGCAATTTCATCGCAGCACGGGTTACGCGTATGTTGCTGGGCTTTGGAAGGAGGATCTTGTTGCTGGACTGCTGTGGTATCGATCTGGACATAAAGGCGCAATCACTTCGTCCCGGCTGCCCACTTGGTCGTGGGCGCGGTTTAGTGGTGGAATCGGGTTCTGGGGTGAAGGGGGAAGCGGTCTGAAGCTCCTGAAGACCGACTGCTACGTACTCGACCTCTCGTACGAGATAATGGACCGCCTTGGAAATTACGGGGAGGTTTCAAACGCCAGGCTGTTAGTCGAAGGCCGTGTAGTACGTGTAAGAGTCCAGCCAGGGCCACGAGGGGAGTACGAAGACCTGCAACTTCATACCGCAGACGGGGTTCCTGTTGGCCGGCCCAAATTTGATGAGATGAAGTATCGTAAATTGGGATCTGAGTACTATTGTCTTCAAGTGCACAAGGGATATCGTTCCACAGCTGGACTATTGCTAGAGGAACTTGATGGCCAGAGAGGGGAGTATGGGCGGGTTGGATATGTCACTATTCTGTCCACGGAGAGGCCTATATCGGGGTATCCAGACGGAAGGCTTGCCTTTTCAGATACCATCCCACAGGTCCTCACGATTGTGTAAACATCTCTGAATCTCCATGAAGCGGACATTGCCACTATAGACCATGGGTCTTGCTCCGTAGGGCTTTATACGCCTTGGGCGTATCTAACCCTTGGAGTGTTCTGAAGCCCAGCTCCGCGTTTCCTATGGAAAAAAGGCTCCTTGGATTGGGCCGATGAGGCAAGCTTGACCACCTGTCTCATTCCAGTTCGTCTTCCATTGTGCTGCCAGTGACTCTTTTTTTATAGACCCTGCGACAAGAGGTGGTCTACCTGCTGCAAACAGGAAACAGAGGACGAGGTAAACAAAGCTAGTGTATGATCCTGGAGATTTTTTGTCCGTTTCGGATTTGACAACCACTTCGAAGCCAAACGCAGACCTTAACTTGCTGTGAAAGCCCCTCCAGCTTCGCAAGGTCAAGAACACAATCATGAAAGTACTGGTTGTACAATACAGTATAATAGTGACTTGGAAGCCTCTTCTTGGCCATCTCCTGGGCGAAAGCTTGTAAGGCCTTCCAGAAAAAAAAACATCGTACCAGCAATACGGCACGACACGGCGTTGAAGATTCGGGAATCGAATTCTAGAAAAACTCCAAACGGAAGAGATAAAAGCCAAAAACAAACCACAGTGCAAAGTAATACGTACAGGACGGAGGCGGCGGTGGCAAGAAACGCCCCTCGGCCGTCCGTGCCAGTCCATCTTGCGACACGAGTCTCCGCCCAGCAGGAATTCGAAGGCGCGGCATCGCCGCCGCCTGCCAGCGACGTTTCAAGTGGCGGTGCCGGACATGGAAACCGAACGTTTGATGCATCCTCCAAAGTAGCAGAGCAGACGCAGGAGGTTCTGCGAGGAACTTGTCACGGTTGAGAGGTACCGGGAGCCTTCTGTACTTCTAATTATCGACGTGAGCAATCGTGTGGGCCCGGGGGTGAATAGGGGTAAAGGGTAAAGGGTAAAGGGTAAAGTGTAAAGTGTAAAGTGTAAATAAAGTGTAAAGCGTTGCTGGGTTGAAGCGGACTGGCTCGCATTGCTGTAATCAAAGCGCCCCCTGCTGTGGCGAACTCCATGAAGAGATCAATGAAGAGGCACTTGTGGGGGTTGTTGTTGTTGAGGAGTAAGGGGTCGGAGATCCTGTACTCTGTATGTAAACAAACATAGGTGGTCGATCCCCTTTGTTGCTCGATGTTCGGGGATGGCAGTACCGATTATCCTTCTCAAGCGCGATCGATACTGCATAATTCCTATGAATATCTTATTAATAAGTACTTGATGATTGCCGTCGAGTGCCGCGCGACAAGTTCTCGATACAGTCGGTATACCGGTGTGAAGATCAGGTATGGCTGGACACCGCTGTAATGCGACTTGTTGTTTGGGCTTCTGCAAGTCGCCTTCCACGTATATAATATATGGTAAGGTAGTATATATATGTATATATACCTTGTATCACTTGTATTCTCCATTTGTCCCAACCGCCCCTGGAGGTACCGGTACCGGTAGGTCTATAGGTATCCCCCAGCTAGGTAGTAGTACCGTAATTACTACGTATACTAGTATTATCCGGAAATAAGAGCCCCTCAAGTAATGCCACGCCCTGGAGCTGACCCGCAGTTATTTTGGTTTCGAGTCCCCGAGTCCGCCACATCAGAATCGATCAGTACGGAGTCTGGGCAGGTACTGTAATTTAGCGCAAGCGCATGTCCATCCACCCTGCGCTCTGAGCCCGTCTCTCCTCACCTCCTATGTTACACGCTGGAGTGTACTGGTACATCAACGATCCGACGACCACGAAGACGACGACAACTAATACCGACACGGACACGGATACGACGGTCTCAATCGAACGTCGCATTCAAGGCTGCTACTGCTGCTGCTGGTGCTGCCGCTGCTGCTGCTGCTGTTGTTGTCGCTGCCGCTGCCGCTGCCGCTGCCGCTGCCGACCCGAGAAACGGTTGGAACCTCACCGTCGTCGACCGATCGCGAGCGCCCTACCTGCGGATTCGGCTCAGCCAGCGAATTCACCGGGTCTCTTTCATTGACTGGAGTGACTCCCATCGAGCATCCTGGAATCACCTCTCTGGAAATGACGAATGCGAGCGCATATTGTGTGTACCACCCAACCAACTGCAACCCCCCCCCCCTCCCTCCCCCCCTTCTCCTCCCCCCCCAAAATCCCCCCCAAATCCCCCCCAAAATCCCCCCCAAATCGCCCCAGCCCACTCAGCTAACCTCCCTCCGCGGCAGGACGAAAAACGAGAAAACAATTTCCTTGACGATACAGCACTGTACCCCGCGGCGGCGAATAATTCGCATCTCACCCCACCCCCGAGCCAACAAGGAGCCCGTTCCCGCGCTGCCATCCTGTAGATCTCGTGGTGGACTATGGCTTCACAAAACAGGTACGTTGCTCGGTCTCTTCGCACAGATCCCGATGTGTGAGATGGTTTGGAAACACGGGGTAATTCAAAACGTGGGGTCATTGGTGCATTTCGAGGACGCTGGGTTGGACTAGCCGTTACATTCACCCTCAGCTCCCGACTATACCATCCATCCTCCTTGTCCGTCCTTGCGATTGTCCAGTTCTTGCAACTACTTCTTCCGAGTCGAATCTTGTTGCGATTGCGATGGCTGATTATTATCCTGCGCCCAGTATCTACGCTCCTGGTCAATTCTTGAATCCTGGGCCAGCTCCTCGACCACCGACTGATCGACCTCGACTTAATCTCACCCCTTCTACCCAGAACTTGCCCGGCAACATGTCTCAGATGAGCATCAACTCTCCCCTGACGCGGACGGCGACCTCTACCTACACCGGCTCGACAGTATCGCTGCCTCTGGCTCGCCAGCAAACTAATATGGATGGGATGGGCGGAGTGGCGATTATCAAAGAGGGCTGGGCGTCAGTGAAGGAGGGCAAGAATTTCATTAGTCCCTGGAAGCAAAAATGGCTCATCCTACGAAAGGAGGCTCTCGACTTCCACAAGACCGAGGGCGGTAAGATATCATACCAGATAGTCCTCAAGGACGTGCTTGGCGTTTCCCGGGTCGAGGCTGCTGGTACCATCTTCGAGATCAAGCGAGCCTTGAACGGAACCTCGTCAAATCCAGGAGAGGATGATGGGATCTCCAAGACTTTGCAGATCAGAGTGAAGGGGGACGACGACTTGTACGAATGGATTGATTTCATATACGCACGTTGCCCTGGCATGGGAGGTGTAAGCAACCCTACAAACTTTAGTCATTCGGTCCACGTTGGCTTCGACCCAAACACTGGGGAATTCGTTGGACTGCCCCCCGAGTGGTCTAAGCTGCTCAACTCGTCCGCCATCACCAAGGAGGACTATGAGCGTAACCCGCAGGCCGTCTTCGAGGTGCTGGAGTTCTACTCGGATATCACCAAGCGGGCCCAAAACCCCAACCAGTACCCGAGCATGACGCCCACACCACCTGCTGCCACGAACCAGAACAAGCAGCTGGGGTACAACATGAGTGGTGCCAGTGTTGCTCCCCCTAGACCAATCCAGAACACCCAGCGGAACAACAGCTATGGAACGCCATCTTCATCCTCCTCCACCACAATCAACACGCCTCGCCGACCAACTCCACCCGAGTCCTCACAGCAACAGCAACAGCAACGCCAGCAAATGCAGCAGATGGCTTCCAATTACGTTGACCCCCGGCTACGCGAGGAGCAAAGACAGAAGGAGCTCGAGGCTCAGCGTCAACGCGAGAAGGAGAAGGAGCAGCGGGAAAGGGAGATGGAGGAACAAAACCGTCGAGACATGGAGGAGTACAACGCATCTCTACCCAAGACACGTCTCCCGATGGCTCAACAGGAGGTCGGTGGCTTCGGAGGCAGCACCGATAGATACAACCCCTCCCGAGCTGCACCACCCGCACCTCGAGCCCCGCAAGGACAACCACAACCTCTCAGAGCCCAGCGACAAGCTCCTTCAGCCCCGACCCCTAGCAATGGTTCTCGTCCTCCTTTGAACAGCCAACAAAGCTCTTCGTCAATCCCTCGGGACCAGAATGGAGATTCTCGATCCCCTGCCAGAACTGAAAATCAACGACCTCAAGATCCTCGTTATCAAAACGGCTCTCAGCCTCAGGCACGAGCTCCACAACAGAACCAACCGCCTTCTCGTCTCCCAGCACCAGTCCAACAGGTCAAGCCCCTTAATGTCGCTTCTAAACAGCCAACCGGCGGCAACGGTATTCAACAAACCGATGCTGTGAAGGCTGCCGAAGCCGCGCTGACCGCCAAGCCAACTACTGCTGAACGCAAGCAAGATGTTCGCATGTCTACCATGACCGAGAGCGAAGTCATGGTCAAGCTGAAAGAAGCTGTTTCCAAAGACGATCCCAACCTGTCTTATTCGAAGCAGAAGAAAATCGGACAAGGTGCATCAGGCTCAGTCTATGTCGCAAAAGTCAAGGAGAACGCACCTTCGGCGATTGCTCGAGAAGTACTTCGCCAGCAGGGAACCAAGGCTCAAGTTGCTATCAAGCAGATGGATTTGGCGCATCAACCAAGGAAGGAATTGATCGTTAACGAGATTATGGTCATGAAGGACAGCAAGCACCGAAACATTGTCAATTTCCTTGACGCCTTCCTGCGCAATAACTTCACGGAGCTTTGGGTAGTCATGGAGTATATGGAAGGTGGTGCCCTGACCGATGTCATTGATAACAACCCCAGCATCACCGAAGACCAAATCTCAACTATCTGTCTCGAGGTAGGTTCACACGACCATTTATTTCCTTGTGGAGAAAGACTGACAAGTATAGACCTGCCGTGGACTTGAGCACTTGCATCAACAGTCTATCATTCACCGTGATATCAAATCTGATAACGTTCTTCTCGACGCGCGCGGTAATGTCAAAATTAGTAAGTCCCAAACGCTTGTCAGTAACTAGTCAAGTCGTCGTTTGCTAACCAAACCTAGCCGATTTCGGTTTCTGCGCCAAGCTTACCGAGTCCAAGTCTAAGCGTGCTACGATGGTCGGTACACCCTACTGGATGGCGCCTGAGGTTGTTAAGCAAAAGGAGTATGGTCCCAAGGTCGATATCTGGTCTCTCGGCATCATGGCGATTGAAATGATCGAATCTGAACCCCCATATCTCAATGAGGAACCTCTCAAGGCTCTGTACCTTATCGCTACCAACGGTACTCCGCGCCTCAAGAAACCCGAGAAACTAAGCAAGGAGTTGAAGGCTTTCTTGTCTGTGTGCCTCTGTGTCGATATCCGGAGCAGAGCTTCGGCCCTTGAGCTTCTCCAGCACGACTTCTTGAAGCATGGTTGCACTCTCTCCAGCTTGTCTGACCTGCTTGCATTCCGCAAGCACGCCAAGTGAGAGAACGGGTATTTGATTAAACGATAATGATCACGTTCACGACATGATATGCTTGTATTGAGGACGGCCAACTGGTCACTGCGATGACTCAGTCCTGCGGGATGTATGCATTTATTCGTGTGGCTACATAAATATGATCCACACGAATTCCGGCGTTAAGGGCAGTCTTTTGGATCTTTGCACAGTAGCACCAACTGGCCAGCACTACTTGCGACTTTTTGTTTCCAAGGGCTGAGTTTCTTCTGAATCACATAAAGGCAACTGGGCATATACTGTTTCCCTTCAACTTTGCATCCTTTTTGAATCTGGGTGAAGGTTTTATATAGCTGTGGGCCTTAGAACAAGAGAGCGCTTTAAGAGTTGAGCACCGCGGAATGAATTTGGGGCCGCATAGGGAATCATGGAATGAAAGAACCTATAATTATATTGTTCACATTTGGGAAGGCTCGTTGTGGTAACTGATGTGAATTTGAGAAGGCCAGATTATTGACAATAATTAAGGCCATTGTCCCTGCTGGGAAGCTTACTTTTCCATCTTGATCATCAAGGCTGCATGCGTGAAATCATGATCCACAGCTGCATTGCGAAGAACTCGGAGCACAACCCCTGACTTGAGCCCGGTACGGTCAGGTCAGGCTGGCCGGACTATGGTTGATCCGAGGGTCCGAGGTAGGCGGGCTTGTATTTGTGCTTGTTATGATAGCTTCTTTGTTACACTAACCTAGACATCTCGAACCTCAAAATTTCTGGGAGTACCGACTTTCGACATACGGCGCAGGCACTTGATTTTACAGCAGCGCACACTCTAGTTTACAGCTGCGCACACTCCAGTAGGAATCATGGCGCCACTGATTACAGTCGCAAAGGCCACGCTCTCCTATCCCCTCTGCGCTGTGGACTTCGACCCTGTCGATTCCGCGCTGCTGGTGGTAGGAGGCGGAGGAGGCGCGGGCAGGACTGGAGTAGGCAACAAGATCGTGAGTGAAGCTCTGGACCCCAGCCTGGTTGCCGGAAATCAGGAACAGCTGCTAATCTCTTCGCCCAGACTCTGCTCGATACTTTGGATCCCAAAGAGCTCCGGGAGGTGCGCGACATCGAGCTCCGCAAGGATGAGGACAATGTGACGAGTTTGGCCGTGGGCGTGGATTTGAACAGCACCTCGCTGGTCTTCGCAGGCGTGAACTCTTGCCCGGAGGATATCAAGAAGGGAAAGAATCTACATTTCCGAATCTTCAGGACGGAAATGGAGAGCAAGGCTGGTGCGCACAACGATGCAGAGGATGCGATTACGATTACGGAGGTCTCAAAGTCGGCGCTGTTCGTGGGAAAGGAGGAAGACATCTACCAGAGGATTACGAGGTTATCGAAGCCTTTCCCCGGTCGAACCCAGCTTGGAGCGATCGCGACAGGGCTGTCTAAGAAATCCGAAATCGTGCTGTTTGATACTACATCTACGAGTCCGCCCAGTCAAAGAGGAGCTGTGCAGAGCAATAAAGAGGCTGTAGACGTCGATATCATTCAAACGGGAGATGATGAGTATCTGTTCGCGTATTGCGACGAGTTTGATATCTACGCGAAGAAGATATCAAGGCAGACGGACCCGGAAGAGCCGGAGTGCATATATATTACGCCTGCTAGCAGGGAGACGGGGCAGAGACCGACAGTTCCACGATTCAGAGCGATGAGATTCCTTACGAAGGAACTCCTCTGTATGCTCACTCTTGTCGCCAATAATAGCGGGGTAGTGCTGCAGATATTGCGAATACCACCCAGTGGAAAGGGAAACTGTCGTCTAGCTCAGTCAATCAGGCTCCCGATCAGTAAGACGAAAGCAACCGCGCTGGCAGTCTCGAACCTCACACCACCGACTTCCCCTACGGCACAGCAAGGATACACACAATTCGTGATCGCAGTGGCCGGCCAGGACATCTCCATCTCGCTCTTCAAGGTCGATCTCCAAGTTGAGGGTGCCGTGTCCATGGTCTCCAAGATCAAGCCTTTTCGTACTTTCAACAAAGTCCACCCTATGCAGATTACCGGCCTGGCCTTCTCCAACTTCATACCACCAACCGAACCCTTGACGGCGCAAATATTTCCTCAACACTTGAAGCTAGCCAGTATAAGTATGGCCAATACAGTTATCGTTCACACCCTACCTCTCTTCCCCGTTCCTCTCTCCGTCAAACGTGGACAATCAAAGACCGCCCGCTACGTCGTGACCCTACCATCCACGGCAGCCGTCTACGGCATGAGCGCCATCGTCTCAATCATCGCCATTGCACTCGTATCTATTGTCATCCAAGGCGTGCTTGAGATCCGCGGCGGCGTACCCGTCTACCTAAACGCACGGAGCCATCTCCCCATCGTTCTCCAAGAGCGCTTGGGTCGCCCATACGAGTTCCCGGCGGGATACAACAGCGTGGCTAAAACAGCCGAGAGTATCCTCCCGACTGAAATTCCTGCCCCAGTAGCAGATAGCAACCCTATGGAGCCTCCAGCAAACGCCGAACCCCACCCAACGGGCTACAACCACCACCTGGGCGTTCCTACCGGCGACGCTGAAGGTTCCGGCTCAGCCCTGCGCCTCCCCTCCTTCTTCGAAGAACTGAAGCAGAAGGTCGGCGAAGGTAGTGATATCGTACTTTTGAAGGAGCGTGAGAGTGAAGAGGGCCTAGAGGCACATGTCCATGGTGCAGATGACGAGCACGGCGGAAAGAAATGGGAGGATCTGGCGCACGAGCAGAAGGAAGGGTGGAAGGCGAAGCTGAGAGCTGCCGGGCACTGGGCTGATGATATGGGAGAGACGGTCTTGAAAGGGGTGTTGTTTAGTGAGTTGGCGGGCATCGTCGCAGATGCTGTTCGTGGGGGTTGAGGATATGAAAGAAAGGGAGGGTTTCAGTGCCACGATATGATGAATGTGTGTGTATATAATGCTAGGTAACCTTGATTGGGTTACTTATGTATGTATGTTTTTGCTACGATCAGATAGGAGAATCGAGCATTTGTCTGAATTATGCTTGGGATTTTGAAGATTTTATTATTGTGTATGATAATGATGATGATGATGATGATCTAAATAGATACATATTCACTTGCACCTTTTCCCTCTTCTTCTCCTTCAAAATCTTTTATCGCCCAGTCGCGAAGCATTTCAGGTCAGTTAGGTCAGGTAAGAGTTGGGGGGGGGAGAGGGGAGGGGGGCAGTGGAAGAGGAGGAATAGGTAGGTATGTGTATTTAAAGCTGGAAAAAAAACAGTTGGAAAATTGGAGAGCGATAGAGCGAGCTGTCGTTCACTGCCCGTTTTCAGGATTCGGATTTAAACCTCGTACGGGCAATAGCTACATCCTTTTACACGCGTTCCGTTTTTTTTTTTCAATACTATGGAATTTTTTGAAGATTTCAATGGGCTACGGAGAGAGGCTCCATCGCCTGCCTGCCTGCCTCACTGGACTCTTACCTTCTTTCTCCCTCTTTCTCCCTCTCTCCCGTCTCTAGTGTAGGGCTTGATTGAATCTCGCCATGTCGCCTGCAGAGATACCCCATCATGTACCGTTACGAGAGATACTTCAGTAAAGCAATTGATGCATCGTCTTAAGATTATCACATATATATAAAGTACAACAATAACAACAACAACAACAACAGCGTCGGCAAGATCACAACGAGCGAATCTGTAAACGCAAGTTAATGTAAACAAGAATATTATTAGTTTTTGTTTATTATCTATTTACTTTGCCCCTTTTTTAACACATGTATCAGACTGCTCACTCAAAGCAACATTAGAGCGGACAAGGACATTGTTTTTCGTTAGACTGTGTTCGACTACACATCTCAGAGAAGTCTACGCGCATGATCTATTCTATTGATTCTCCGATTTCCGAACCAGTGTATGATCATTGGAAAGAGCAGAAATATCGATATCCTCCTGCCTGCCTAAATAGTTGGTTCGCTAAAGCATCCAAGGCCAAGAACGCCAAGAGCAGAAATCCGTGGATCTATGACGATATTGTAAGACTCGAATTTGCAGACGTGGCATTGTTGGATTCAATGAGACCAGGAAGAGTAGGGCCTCAGAAGGTCCAAGAATAGTCGGATAATATAATGTCCTGTGTAGGTCCCTGGGTGGGTAGTTCAGATATGGATATTACCGGAGCCCGGTACGGTAATGACAGGCTCTGATCTCGATAGATGGCGAGATTGATAGTAGGCTTGCGATCAGCAATTAGAGTGTATTCCACCCTGCCATCTCAGTTACCGAGCAGAAGAATCGAGGAAACTCCTGATCTGCTCACAGTCTCTACACTCCTTCTTCCTACATCCGTGACTCTTCCTCCTATCTATCGCCACATCCCACGCCGTCTTCCCTTCGCTTGTCTTCGAACTCACATTCGCGCCATACGCGACCAACACATCAACCGCATTGACCAAACCGTGGCTCACAGCAATATGCAACGGCGTCCTTCTCGTCATGATCATCTTGGCGTTGGCGTTGGCGCCCTTTTCCAGCAAGTAGTCTAGAATCTCTAGCTGGCCAGGCGTTATCAACGGGCTCCAAGACGTAGCTGCGAGGAGCAGTGGAGTGAGGCCCTCCGAATTCTCGACTTCGATGGTACGCAGAGAGTCGGGCTTATCAAGGAGCATACCGACAGCCCATGGGTCGTTGCGCCGGATAGCAAGGTGCAGTGGTCTGTTGTGTGTTCCGAGAGATGTAACGCCTACATCCGTTTTGTAGCTTGAGGAGAGAAGGAGAGCCAGTGCTTCGCGGCGATGGTGTTCAAGTGGCTGTGTGCCACCTCCCAGCAGCTTCAGAAGCGGTGCGTCTCCAGAGGGATCTTTCGCGTTGGGATTCGCTCCTGCTCCAAGTAATAGATAGATGACGGTGACATAGCCGCTCCAAAAATCTTGTTCGAAAGCCTCCAGTAGAGGTGTTTTCGAGGTTTTCTTTGACCTGACATTGACGTCGACGCCATGTTCAATCAAAGCCCTCAAGCACTTCGTATGTCTAGCGCTTGCTCCCCTCACTACATTGAAAATTGGGGCTAATCGAGGGTCTTTTTTTGTCCCTGGATTGCAGCCCGCGCGCAAAAGCATGCGAACCGCATCGGCATTTCCATTCTTGGTCTGCTCGCCGAGGTGATCGCAGGAGCGGTCCACCATTGGCAGCATACGCCCACGCATCTCGAAGGATTGCCGCGTTCTTGTTGACATGACTGAAGTGGAAACACTGGACGCTGTATCTTCGTAGACTTTCTTCATGTAGACGCTTGCTTTTTCTACTTTGGCACGAGGACGCTGGACTGGAGGAACTTGCGTGTTGTGCGAGTTGAGATTGTGGCCGGTCAAAGTGGGAGCTGGCGGAGCTTGGGGAGGGCCTCGCCCGGAGTCAAAGGATTTGCGTAAGGGGTTTACCTTAGGGCTATTGGGTTTGGTGGCTGGTCTGGCTTTGGAGGGTACTGAAGTTTTGGGAGGCTCTGGTGGTGTTTCCGGGTCGAGCATCTCTCCCTCCTCTGCGTAGCCGTGTAATCAGCAACTGCCAACACCTGATTGTCCCGAGAAGCAGGTGACTGTCACCAGAAATTTATAGACATTCATAGAAGGAAATTCTTGACTCTTTAAATACATACTGTATGATCTGACATTTTTGACGAAACTTGCAGTAACGTCCTTGGTAGTCACGGGAATAGAATGTCTTGTTGGTTTGGGAATTCCTCTTCCGTGGGTATGTGGAACTGGAGGTGGTGCCCCCGGAAGATCAAGAGTAGCAACGGTCCCATCGAACTGCTGCTGTACGCTTATTAGCTCGGCCGTGCTGGCATTTCGGTCCCGGCTTGGAGCATCTGTCGATATTCCTCGAGGGTTCATATCCAGAGTGCTATCATCCAGATTCTCGTCGCTCGTACACCGCTGAAGCTCTGGAACTGGCCGGAACAGGAGGTCTCTAAGGGCATTGGAATGGTGACTGGATGGTTCCGTGATCAAAGTCAAGAGCCCCTGAGGCCCGGTATTGAAGACACAGCCTTCATAAAGAGCCATGTCAGCAACTTTGGTATTTGAACGTGTATCATCTGAGCATCGACCGGGCGTATTTGAAGAGCTTCCGACGGATTGCTCGATGCTAGTCGTCAATAGTTCAAAAGGATCGCTTTCACACACCGCACTTATAGCGAACATGGGACTGGGACTGGGACTGAGTACGGCTTCGAGAGGATTCTGTGTATCGTAGGTCATATCGCCGCGAATGCTTGCATCTTTATGTGTTACATCGGATACTTCATGAGCCGAGTATTCTGGGAATGCTCCAGGCATGCTGTAGTAATAATGATCATTGTCATCAGGCATCTCTCCGAAGAGTGGCTCAGGCTCAATTTCGAAGGCTTCCTGGGTAACAGGTACAGGCATGAGAGTATCAGATATAGAATTCACATCAGGTGCTGATGAAAGCGGCGGTTCAGGTTCATATTGGGGAGGCTCAGGCGGGTGCGACGTCGAGTATGACCACGGTATCTTGAAGCTTGACAGTGTTGGAAGATTTGAGATGACGATGTTTGTTACGCGCTGATGTAGTGGGGACTGCGGAGGATACTGCGACGCTTTCGTCCGATCTTTTTTGACCGTTCGTGCATTTGACTTAGGTCTCTTGGATATTTTATCATCTGAACGCGGGTGGTAGACTCTCGGTGCTTTAACTATGCTATCTGCCTTCATAGTGGCGTCCTCGTCTAGGCTTCCGATTGAGGATGCATCCGATGTAGTCGAATCATCAAATATACAGCAATTGCCGCAGAAGGTTCCAGCCTGAGACAGACTGATAGCATGAAATAGTTGATTAGCTTCCGGTCTGTCACCTGGCTTGTCCGACAGCATGTCTTTAATCCATTGCATAGGGGCGTTATCGACCTTCGAGTAAGCCGCATTTTTCGTCAGGTGCTCAGTCCATTGGATGGCACCCTCGATGTTTTCGTATGCGTAATCCTCTCTCGTCCCATTTGTCTTGAAGAATGTGTGCATGGACTCCAAAGTGTGGCCCTGAAGAACTGTAGTCATCTCCAGGAACGTGACACCCAGAGACCAAATATCGGATGACCTCCCTCTGTTGGCTCCGCGGAAGACCTCCGGACTCTGATACCGAGCAGTCCGGGCATTGACAGTCCCCTTCGTCATACTCTCGTCGTCATCAAATTCGGTAGCTGCTCCAAAGTCTGCGATATAGATTTCACCTTTTTCGATCAGAATATTGCTGGGTTTGATATCCATGTGCCGAATATTCGAGTCGTGCAAGTAAGCCACAGCATGTGTGAGACACCCATAATATGTTCTCAAAATCGAACGCTCGGACGCGTTACTTTGTAGATCCGATGCCTGGTTTTGAAGATATTCCTTTAGATTGATGGAAGCCACAGGCTTCATGAGAACAGCCAGATACCGGGGATCGGTATAGCTTGCGAATATCTTGACCAGATGGATATGGTCTAATCTCTTGAGTATCTTGAGCTCTCTCTGAAACTCTTGTTGGATCGTATTGTCTTTATCAATGTCTCGCCGTCTCCGGATTCTTCTCCTTGCATAATATTGCTTGGAAGACAAGCTTTGTACTTTATCGACAGTACTAGATCCCCCAATTAGCGTGGTTTAGACCTCAAGAGTTGGTGAATTCTCACGCTTCACCTCCTCTACCAAGCCTTCCCAATGACCTGAAATACGAATCGCCAGAGGGAATATTCCAGTGTCGACTGTCCTCGCTACTTTCCATCTGACATGCAGGTGAGATTACGTGCTGCTGCAACTCCAGGAATTGACGGGAAGCATCTGGATCTTTCCTCAGGGCAGAAGGAAGCGCTCTACGGTCCAGGTAGGGCAGAGAGTTGTCCCCAAGGCCGAATGCGATGAATGCATACATCAGATCTCGCCGTTTCATCATTGACAGGATGGCATATGTACGTGGTCGGTCGCTAGCTCCAATGTGATCAATGTCTCGAAGACAGTCCGCTATGTCCTGGAAAGTCCTGTCATCGATCACCATCTTCAAACCATTAGCATCCACGCCAGCAGGCTGCTGACATAGTCGATCGAGTTCCTGGCAGGCTCTCTCTGCGGAGGTCAATACAGGGGACTGAGCAGACTCCATGTCTAGTAAGTAGTAACTTTCGAGTTTCTGGAAGTGGAAAGCTATGGTTGCCTTGGAGACCTCAATGATAATCGACAACGGATTTCGTGTAGAATAAGGCTGAGGCTGAGAACTCAGAACAGCGTCCGGCTGTTGGTGTCGGATCAGCTGATCGTCCGATGCATGTCTCCAAATTGGCAAGGAGCACCGTGTGTGCAGGATGCAATATGCATTCTGTTGGCCCATGACCGCATCGGGTTGGCGGCCAACATTCAAATATCATATGTGTACGGCTAGGCCGAGTGTCCAGCAGCAGAGAGGTAGTCGTCGACCTTCACACGTATTTGAAGCAAACCGAACGAACCTCCCTCCTATTTAGAGCCGAGCAGCTGCAGAATGTCAGGCTTTGACGTTGCTGCCGGGGCCGTTGGCTTCGCATCGCTTGGGATACTTGCACTCCAAGGATGTATCAAAGGGTTTGTTCTGTTGTCGACAGCACAGAATTTTGGCCAGGTCCGCATATCCCATATATCTCCATTCAAAGTCTCGATGTTCTGGGATTGAGTTCGCTCAGCGATCCCAGATGGCCCCTGAGCTCCTGGAACATTGAAAAATCCGGTGCTCATCTGCTAGTTAGGATGCCGATATGGTCCGGAGCGAGATCGAATTCGAGCAATATCGGCTATACAAATGGGCAGAAACAATCGGATTAGAAAGCGGGTCACCATCTCGCAACATGGACGTATGGACAATGGGGTAGCAGCCCTTCCCCTTTTCAAGTGTATCACGAGTACTCTGCTCCTCGCGAGATATTTAGAAACGATTTCTTTTGCTGATCTCTTGATTATCCAGTGGGAGATTGTCCACGGACACCTGAAAAAACTTGAGACGCTGCTGAATGACACAGACAATTTCAAATCAGAATATCGACTAGAGCTCGTCACAACGGAGGATAAACTTTCATCGGATGAGGTCGCACCCCCCAAGAAAAGCTTTCGGCATCTTTTCAAGCCAAGTTTCCATAACGAAACTGCTCGGACCTTACAGAAAGGAGTCAATGTCTGGAAACGTTTGAAGTGGGCTGCGATCGATAAGGACGGCGTCAGCTTGTTGGTCAATGACGTTCATCGATTTGTAGAAGACCTTTGGAACATGCTGCGGGATGAAGACCTTGCGTTTATGAGGAGCAGTATGGAGGCTCTCATGAGGCATGCAATATCTCAGACACAGGGCCCTAAAGAACTCTCAGATCTTGAAAGGTAGATATTGCGGGTGCCCAATTTTATCCAATTCTCGATACCTGAAGAAATTTGGAGGGCGTGTCTTGCCATTGTCCCGCGAATCTATTTTCACAAGGGAAATGCTGACTTTCTGATATCCAGACTTCTCAACTTCAAGCGCCAGGGCGACTCTAGATTTGAGGATGCCGCCATCCAATCGGCCCTCTCCTTGAAGCAACGTAGTGTAGTTCTTGGTTATCACGAGAACACTGAAACCTGTTCGAGCAATTCATTTTCTTCAAAGCCGCTCTCAAACAGTCTCTCAAGCGCGACCCTTGTTAGACCATCAAGAGGCTCAACCAGCCCTAGAACCTCGATTGCGACAAGGACCAGGAATCCTGGGGTGGCACTGTCGTACAAGTTCTTGAAGACAGAGCCGGGTTTGGGTCAAGATTCGAACTCGAGGCAGGTGGGATATTACGACGGCAAATTCGTGCTTGTTGAGTGGAAGGTGGTGGATAGAGGAGTCGAAACCAGGCTGAAGTATCGCATCAAAACTCTTGCAGCCTTGCTCCAAGAGATGAGCTCTGCCCCATTTCACTCCTTGACATGCTTGGGGTATTTGAAAGATCCAAAGTCCGGAAACTATGGGTACATATTCCAGGCTCCGCCCGAGACAACCAAGTTTATGTCTTTGGAGAAATTGTTAATTGGCCATACTCTGGCCCCGAGTCTAGATGATCGCTTGGATTTGGCCATCGCTATGACCGAGACGGTGCTCCAGCTACACACAGCAGGGTGTAAGTGATGGAGTCTTCCGTCTTCCTAGGCCCCGGTTGACGCGATGCTGACCCGTATCCCCCAGGGTTGCACAAAGGTGTGCGAGCAGACAACGTTATCTTCTTCCATCAAACGACAATAGATATCACAAAAGTCTATCTTGAGGGCTACGAGTACGCGCGAGCCGATAACCCAACTGATATGACAGAGGCTCCGGTCCCAGATCAGGGGGCAGACTTAACCCGGCACCCGGCATTGCTCAGAGCCAACCGAGCGCCCTTCCGAAAGGCATTCGACCTGTATGGACTGGGTTGTCTTTTGCTGGAGATTGGACTTTGGGAGCGTTTACCGACGATTCTGCTGCATTTTTCACGAAGGGAACATGACCCCACGATGACAGCACGCGTGTCACAGACAAGCTTGATATACGAAACGAAGGAAGAGATGGTAAGAGTGAACAAGTCGAAAGGAAAACTTCTCACAGATACCGGGCCCGGAAGTGTCGGAAAAGCTTTGGAATTTGCGGCAGGAAGAACATTCGCAAGTGTGGTGCGATCATGCCTGTCTGCCGCAGATGAGAAGAACGCCAGCACGTCTGGGGACTTGGGTGAAAAAGAGGAAGATATAGATCCGGACGACGAATGTATTGACCTCGAAATAGAGATTCTCGAGAAGCTGAAAAGGTGTCGGTCGTAGTGGTTTGGGCTTGCCGATTCAAGGATCAATCTCTTCCAGGGCATCAACCAAGCACTTTCGTGGCTCTTGGACTGAGTCCAAAATGAGCAAAGGGTTCATCCATATAAAGTATTTTTGCGATGGTGTTCGCTGCTCTGACTGAGATCTGCAACTCCGGGCGCAGGCTCATCCAGCTCTGCCCGCTGGCCTCACAATACGATTCTGTTCTGTAACCATCGATTGAAGATGTGATATTGTCGATGTTGTCGATATTGTCGACATTGTCGACCTTGCATTCAAGATACTTGTGTTCGTAGGGCCTTGGAGAGCGGCGCGTCCGTAAATCATTACGTAAAACCGATGATCATCTGAGATGAGGTGGAGGCCAAGTCCACTACTTACAGTAGTGAACCGGGACGGAAAATTCAAGCATCCGTGGCGGTGGATTATTGCAACACGTGCTCGGTTGATGGGCTCACCCCCGTCGCCTCCCTTTCCCACCTGATCAGACCGTCTTGTTTATTCTCGCTTCTCAGGACTCGACTTTGACCAAAATGTCATCAATCACCACAATTGCCTTTGTTACCCATGAATCGGATATGTTCTTACCCATTCTGCTTTTGCTTTCATCTGTTCCCCGCCTTCTCTCCGCTTCTACGGAAAAGTATAAATTACCTGTAATGAGGGGTCCCCGCAGCGGGGACTGCCGGCTTCTTAATTAGGTGGTGTATCAACAATTCGGCCGAGTCTAGCGGTGCAGTCTGCCGCTGGCGGCTGGATCAGGCCAAGATTTCCATTCCTCAAATTGATGTTCACAGAATGGACAAGAGAAAGGATACGGCATATTTTTTCAGGATATAGATGTGTCGTTGTCGTTGTTGTTATACTGTTTGTTCCTGCGTGAGCTAAGATTTCTCGCCAAGTGCAAGCAAGATCT